CCATGTGCCTTCTGCACACTGGTGCTGTTTCAATAACGCTAATAGCCCCTATTATATGCATGAAGCTTCAGCCTCAAGACGTCGCGTTCTCATGTTATGCGCTCTCTCATATACTGCAGCCACGAAGCACTGACGTTTGCAGCCACAATATAACATTGAAATACCCAATTCAAGGGATGGCCGGGTTTCCAAAATGACGAGAGAAAGCGGTCAAGTCCACTCGCGAAAAGGCCGAAACCAATTCACCTCTGGAATAATTTTTCTTACAATATATATTCATGTTTCGTGACGTCTGAATGTTATGCATGGTCCCTGCAGACGCTGCTAAGTCAGACGAGAAATCGTGCATTCAATGGAGCGCTGGACGTGAGTTGTTCGAGCAGCGGCTCATGCAAGAGAACTTTGGACGATGAAACAGATCAGATGGAAACAGATCAGTAAGTCACGTGTTTATCCTAATAGAGCTTGTAGTTATTTCAATTTTTTTTATTCTTGATATAACTCAATTTATTAGACTCGCTGTAAATTTCATGTATGTGAATCAAACTATTATTTATTATTTCATTTTAGTAAAACCCTTTGATTGTATCATGGATGAATGCCTTACAGTTTTTGCTCACATAAATCGTTGTGAAATTAAGAAAATATATTTTATCAATTATTTACATGCTCTCAATTGATGATTATTGTGTTCAGATTTGGGTAAATTGTTTTTTATTCATATTTTTTTCATAAAATAGACATCACGAGTATCCTATCATTAACAAACAACATAATATAAGTCAAATTTTTAATTATGAATTTGACAAGTGTCAACATTCCTCTAGGGGAGAGGATGCGAAAAAAGTCAGATCTGCAAAAAATAACGGCAGTATTGGAGCTTCTGATGATTATGCTACCAACATCGCCGGAAATAATGCTACTAGCCACGCCGTCACAACTAGTAGTTACAACCTCCCTCTGCCTGACGAGCGCTCCATCGCTTGTCTTGTCAAGGTCTGTTCACTATATTTCTTGTTCAAATCTTACTAAATTCAGGAGCTGTTCTTCAGAGATCAAATTTAGCCTCCCGTATACTTGAACCTGCAGAGACTCGAGCACACTCAAAGCCGTGAACACTCGTAACATCAGAGTATCAGAGCACGTGTATATTATGATATACCTACACGAATTCATTTGCATCGTAGCCTTCTTTCTTTCTAAAATGTTAGTTCATGTTGTGTGTTTTTTTCTGTTGAATTTGAAAGTCATTTGGAAAGACTCATTTATGTTTTTTTATTCAGTTTTACAATGATGAAGAACTTAGTATCAACGACGTAGTGGAGGTACTGGGTGTAATCTGTCTAGACCCCAGCCTCTCGGCAACCGACCTGAATGAAGAAGACTCCTGCCCCATGGAAGACACGAGGGAACCTGCTGCTAAACTTCCTCCTTCGTTGGTACCCAGGTAGGGGAGGCATCGTTCTCAGCTGCTATTACCTTACCTTGCACATAAGACTAGCGAAATATTCTGTATAGTGGTTATTCTGGTGCCATTTTGAGCCGATCTACTCTTCTTCTTGGTCGTTATGTTGGAATGAAATAAAATCACCTACGCTCATTTTAAAACTATTTTGCAACTCCGTGTACACTCCTTATCGAATCATTATGTTCTGTACATTACAATATAGTACCTTTAAAAATTACTTTTTAAAAGTACTTTAAAAATTACTTTTTAAAGACAACACTTCTAAAGAATCCAGTGTCTACAATGTTAAAGATGTACAATGAATTTCTCATTTTATTTTCGAATATTAAAAAAAATTAATTTTTCAATTTTTTTATATATAAATTTTTTCAAAATTATTTATTATGTCAATTGATTCATGCATTGCCTCCGACTTCACACAAGTGTGCAAAATTTCAGATCAATTGGACGGGTAAAAATGTGTCAAATATCAGTTATAAGATTTGTAGCGGACAAAATTATTTAAAAAAACTTTATTATTGAATTTTTTTTTAATTTTTAAAATAATTTATTTCGTCATTTGATTCTTGCATTGTCTCCAACTTTACGCAAGTGGGCAAAATTTCAGATCGATAGGATAAGTAGAAGTGTGTTAAATTTCAATTATAAGATTTGTAGCAGACAGACAGACAGATAGACAAACAAACAAGAAGTGAAGTTAAAGAGAAATGTTGTAAAAATACTGCTTTCACACCGAAACAAATTTTTAAATCTTGAGAAGAGTTATTATGATGCGTGCGAGCAAACTTGTACACTAAAGTGCCCTAGATGGTGAAGTCAATGTCCAAAGATAACTTGATACATTTGATTCTCTAACATAACTTGAACTTCATTCTTTGCAACTTAAGGTTAATTGACCGGAAATGAGATGGCGTCAACAGATGTAGCCATAAGTTAATTGTGTACACGCTACCGGTACCTGAATTGGTCATCAATTATTTATTCAAATTTATCTACTGAATTCAATCATAATTTTCTTGATGCGAGTTCATATCATTTGTCGACCCAGCTGTTAATAAATGAGTTTATATAATTTTTTTAAAATTGTTTTTAAGACTTCGTGTATGTGGAAATCACTCCTCCTAGCCTTAGCACTACAGGATTGTTGTTTGAGACTAAGTAACTTGTCACTTACAAATCAATTTAAATTTTCTGGCACTCTCACCAGCCGATGGTGGTTGTGTGGTAGATGAGACCAGAGAATTAGGAACTGGTCATTATTATAGGGTGTTCACTGTTCACCATACTCATCTCAGCAGATATTGTCAAAAGTGAACGATTTCCGCTGCTTGTTTTTAGCGCATTTTCTCATTTATGGAAAAAATGCACTATTGTGCTTGCCATGTCCGTCTGTCTGTCTGTCTGTTCGTCTGTCTGTGCGTGACCTCAAGTTTTCGTCGACGAGAAAATGCGCTCTCTGTCACTCACTGCAGTGAGTACTAAGTTATATATTTTGTTTATGTCAGTACTTATTAGTCTGTTTAAATCGTGATTCGCCAATAATTTAAAAGCAAAGAAAATGCTAATTAAACGCACCATATCTTCATTGCAATCGTTTCAGAGACAAGCTTCATCATAAGTTCATAAATTGAAAAAATTAAATTAGTACAAATTTTCCATGCTTCCAAATTCTTGTTGTTGACATCACTGTTGGTGGGCAGAGTGCACTGTTTGCAGCACCTCCCCCTGGCTCACACCAACCCCCTGCTGCCTGTCATCGACCCTCTGCCCAGCTGGTCCGCTGATGCTCCTGACACCAGGGAGCTGCTGCGCTGCCTGCTCGAGGAGGCCTGTCTGGGCGACAATCTGGTCGGCGACTTCCTTATCTCATGTCTCTTAGGCTCTGTCTACGTTAGGCTGGTGAGTCACATATAAAATATAATTGTATATTAAATTATTTCAAAAAAATTTCCAAAGACTTTCATTAATTGTAGTGAAAATAATGATGGTTTTTGATGTGACCGAGTTGCGCTTTCAAATCTGTGGAATTTCGGGGATAATTTAATTGTTTCTAAGTGCATCTTGTTCATTAACGTTTTACAACTATTAGTTGAATTAACTCGTACCATGGCAGAAATGAGTTTCCAAACCGCAATATTGATGTAATTTTTTATAAGTACAGGATAGGTTTTATATGCCATACAGGGTCCGTGTACCGGTCATGGAAAACCTGGAAAGTCACGGAATTTGATTTTTCATTTTCCAGGCCTGGAAAGGCATTGGATTTCATTTCAGGTCATTGAAAGTCATGGAAAAAAAATAAGTAGGTATTTTTCTGTGCTGCGTGTGTTTGTGCAGTCTCTTATTTCCTGCGTTATTATTGGCACAATCTCTTGTTTCATGCGTTCTGATTGGAGAACCAATCTCGCGAGCTCGGTCACTGAGCTCAGTTGCATTCAACAACTTTTTGATCTGCAGTGGCAGCGTTCATCTTCAGCGTGCAATTTCTACATCGCCATGTCTGGAAAGTGTAAATTTTATGACTAGCTGTTAAGAATAGAAGCTTATCGTGACGGCTTGCTCGCCATGCAAAGCATGAAGGTATGGCGATATGTACATTGTGCTCGAAAGACTTCGATGTATCAAATATGAGGGAAGCAGCTTTGAAGAGCCGTGAAAAGACAGCAAACGTACCAAGTTAGCTAAGCAACACAGTGAAGAGAAAGACAAAGCGCAGTCACGCATTCCCGATTTGTGGTCCGCTGACAGCAATGCAACTGCAGTTTCTTGCTCTAAAAGTGTATCAGGAAATAGGCCGTCGCAAAAGTCAGCACGCATCAGCACTGTAGTGTCTACTGCCACTGTGAATGTAGAGACGGAGAGCAGGCTGTATTGAATCAACTGCCAAAGCCAACCCCAAGGGCGAACTGACTAGCATGGTAACAAAAGAAGATGTTCTGACGTCTGAAATTTGGTGGACATTTAAAAGGTGACATCTGCCTTTTCTTTTACAAGCAACTTTGGCATAAATGATTTATTCCGCCGCATGTTTCCTGACAGTTTAATAGCTAGCACGCTTGCTATTTATCGACTGTAGGAGATGATAGAATATGCACGCTTAGTCATTCAGTCTTGCTAAACCTGTCGTATACGAGTCTTGGAAAATTATATTGATTGTCATGGAGAGTCATGGAATTCTTTTTAACACGTTTTTCTTAACTTAGGTTCGCGTTTGTTTGTGGATTCGTTTGTTGTTAACATTGACAACGAACATTAGCCCACTTCTGATTGCTCTAGAGATCTGAAATTCGGCATG